TATTTGAATCTGAATTCAAACAAACCACTAAAAATTTAAAGACAATAAAACATTGTTTTTAGACAATTAAGAAATAATGAACACTGACAAAATATGTGATAATGTTAAAGAATTATTAATAGTTTTAGAGATTGTGATGGTTAATTTTATGTATCAACTTGACTGAGCCATGGGGGGCCCAGATATTTGGTCAAACATTATTCTGGGTATGTTTGTTAAACATTATTCTGCGTGTGCTTTTGGATGAGGTTAACAGTTAAATCAATAAACTGAATAAGGCAGATTGCTCTTCTTGATGTGGGTGGGCCTCATTCCATCAGTAAATGCCTGAACAGAACAAACAGGCAGATCCTCCCTCAAATAAAAGGGAACTCTTTGTGCCTTATTGCTTACACCGGGAGGTTGTTGTTTTCCTGCCTTGAAACCCCAGTTGGAAAATCTGCTCTTCTTGGATCTCAAGCCTGCTGGCTTTCATACGGGAACTGACACCCTCAGCTCTCCTGGTTCTCAGGCTTTCAGACTCAGACTGGAACTATACTTTGTCTGTCCTTGGTCTCCAGCTTGTCAACTGTAGATTTTGGGATGTCTCAGCTTCTATAAATCATGTAGCTAATTTCTTATAATAAGTCTTCTCTCTCTCTCCCTCTCTCCTTTTCTCTCTCTCTCTCTCTCTCTCTCTCTCTCTCTCTCTCTCGATACACATACACACACACACACACACACACACACACACACACACACACACACACATCCACACATCTCCTGTTGGTTGTTTCTCTGGAGAACACTGACTAATACAAGGATGGTAAGTTGTTGTAGTTATACTTAAGAGTCCTTATCCTTTGGAAATACATATATGAAATACAGATAAAATGATATGATGTCTGACATTTGCTTCAAAATAATCTTAGGATGGAAGGAAATGGATAAAGATTTAGATGAAACAGATTGGCTATCTGTTGGTAATTGTTAAAGCTGGATGATGGAAGCATGGGGTTTCCTCATGCTATTCTCTCTGCTTTTATGTACGGTTACAGTTTTTTTAAAGTAAAAAAATTAAAAGGGAAGAAAATGAAAAATAGGAAATTGAAAAATATTAGTAGTATGGGGGAATTACTTTTTCTTATGACAACTACTGTAGAATCATTTGAATCTATGTGTGTGTAAAAATAAGTAATTTTTAAAACTAAAAAGTGAAGAGGACCTAGCATCAATATAATAAATAATGGTGAAACTTTAGATGCATTCTCATTAAAGGTAGGAACAGCAATGATGCATGCTCTTTGACATTGTACTGGAGTCTTAGCTCTCACAATAAGGCGAGAAAAAGAAGAGCTAAATAGATTTGGAGAAAAAATATTGTTATTTGCAGATAATATTGTATGTATAGATAATCCAAAATTACTTACAAACTGCAGAAAACTGCTGGATATAAAAGCAAGGCACAAAAATCAACATTGTTCCTATAATACTGGCAATAACTGATAGTAACTAGACAATGTGATAGTACAAAATTATATATATAATGGCAACAGAAACTGTAAGGTACATAGAAGTAAATCTCTCAAAAGATGAGAAAACGTTTATAAAGAAAATTATAAAACATTACTGAAGGATGTAAGAATAGACTTGAATGAAATAATAAATATATCAATTATCTCCCAGATTAATCTCTAAAGTTCAATGCCTTGAACCAAGAGGTCAACAACAGAACTTTTTGGGAACTTGATAAACTGATACCAAATTTCAACTTTTCAAAATTGTGAGAAACATTTTAAAAATAAGAACAAAGGAGGTGTGTTTTTACCAAGTATTAAGGCTCATTAGAAAGCTATCGTACCTAAAATAGTGAAATACTGGGACAGGGATAGAAAAATAAATTAATAGAATAGACTAGAGATTCCAGAAATAGCCTCATATAAAATTTGAAATAATATATTATACAGATGATAGTTGAGAAATGATGAAAAAATCAATAAACGGAGTAATTGGTTTGCCATGTGGGGGGACAAAATGAAGTTACATTCTTACTCCACACATAACACAAAAATAGTTTCCAGATGGGTTAAAGCTCTAAATATGAAAAATAAAAATTAAATTTTTTAGAAGAAAATACAAAGGGAAATATTTCTATTCTCAAGGTACAGAACACAAGACACAAAAAGCTAAAATAATAAAAGGAAGTATTGATTGCATTATAATTTAAATTTTCTATGTAACAAATGACCCCATCCAAAGTAAAAAGATGGTGACAGATTAGAGAAGATATTTTCAACATATATTACATAAAATATAGAAAATTCATATCAGAATATATAGGGATCCTACAATTTGATAAGAAAAACAACCTAATAAAAAGCCGAGCAGAAGATATAAATAATTGACAGAAGAGAAAATCCAAACAATGAATAAATACAGGGAGAGATACTCAAAATACTTAGTAATCAGAGAAATAAAACAAAACAAGATGCTATTTTACACCTATCAGACTGATAGAAATTAAAAAGTCTGAATGTGAAGATGTTGGGAAACTAAAATGCAGCTGGTTGGACAACTAATTTAGTACAAGTAATTTGAGATAAAATTCAGGATATGGTTCTAATTAGTTGAAAACTCATACATTATATAACACAACAGTGCTTGTACTCAGCATATACTTCTAAATATACACCTGGGAGAAATTCTGACACATGAACACAAAGAGGCATTTGAGAACATTCACTGTAGCATTTTAAAATAAAAATAAACAGGAGGAAAACCTGGAAATAAAGTATTAAAGTTGGATAAATTTCTGGTGAACAAAACGTGCTGTATCCACATGCTTAAATACTATGCAGTAGTTAAAAATAAATGAACTAGAACTAGCCTATGCATCAGCATAGACAGATCTCAAAAATAATGTAGAATTTATTTGTTTATTTGTTTATGGAGACGAAATTTCATTCTTATTGCCCAGGCTGGAGTGTAATGGCTCGATCTCAGCTCACTGCAACCTCTGCCTCCTGGGTTCAAGAGAATCTTCTGCCTCAGCCTCCCGAGCAGCTATTTCTGTATTTTTAGTAGAGACGGGTTTTCACCATGTTGGCCAGGCTGGTCTTGAACTCCTGACCTCAGGTGATCCACCCACCTTGGCCTCCTAAAGTGTTGGGCTTATAGGCATGACCAACCACACCTGACCATAATGTAGAATTTAAAAAGCAATTTCCAGAATAGTACAATGTATTATTTATTGGGAGTAAGAGAATGGGGACAAGCATAGACAGCACTTTTGAGAAGTTCCACTGTGAAATGGAAGAGATTGTAATAGCTGGAAGTGGGAGTATAGTGGCTGATGAGAGTTATAATTTTCTTTTTAAATGAACATTACTAGAGCTTGTTGCAAATGGGTGGGAAAGATCTGGTAGAGAGACTGAAAATCACTCATAAAGAGCAAAATCCTTGGGAAGGTGGAAGCTTCAGCTCCAAAGCACAAAAGGAACACGCCACCTTATTTTAGGCAGCTAAATGGTAAGGGGCCATGGGATGGAATGACGGAGCTGAATTTGTAGGCTGTTGAGGAGAAGGAACCTTCAAGAAGTAATGCTAATTGGATGTCTGCTAATATTATAAAGGGGAGTCTGGTTAAAAGGCAGCACAAAAGGACCTCCCTCCTGTCACACCCTGCCCTTTCTGAGAGTCTGGGACCATGCTATTGTCACGCCTAACATCGTCTTTTTTTCTTCTTCTTCTTAGACGGAGTTTCACTCTTGTCTCCCCGGCTGGAGGGCAATGGCATGATCTCGGCTCACTGGGACCTCCACCTCCTGGGTCCAAGTGATTCTCCTGCCTCAGCCTCCCCAATAGCTAGGGTTATAGGCACGTGTCACCATGCCCGGCTGATGTTTGTATTTTTAGTAAAGATGGGGTTTCACCATGTTGGCCAGGCTGGTCTCCAACTCCTGACCTCAGATGATCCACCCACTTTGGCCTCCCAAAGTGCTGGGATTACAGGCGTCAGCAATGCGGCCGGCCATGTCACTCCTAATTTCTAATCTGCTCTAGGGAGAGTCCCAATAGTCCATCTGCGTACTGAAGATAAAGTGAATTTCACAGCCAATACCACACAATAGCTTCTCTACTGAGCTATAAGCTGCTTCTGGACTGGACGGTGTTTTGTTTTTATTTTAATCCTCAGCACCAGTGCCTCTCACACAGAATTTAGCTGAGCGGGTTAGGTCTAAGTGCTGCTGCTGTGCTATCAGAATGGCACCTGGGGCTGGTTCTATACCGACCTCTGCTGCTTACTCGTTCAGTAATCTAAAGCAAGTTCTTGAACTTCTCTGGGCCTGTTTTCTACCTGGCAGAGTGGTTAACTGCGTTTAGGATATTGGAAGCACCTAAGGCAGGAAAAGCACATAGACCAGCAGTTAAGACGTCCCTTGAGGATACAAATACCGGGAATTTCTCCCGCTGTCCCCACCCGTCAAGCGCACCAGGGCTCCCAGGTCTAGCTTCGTCCGCCCCCTACCTCCACAAATCTCACTTTCTCTTCCTCTCCCTATGCCTAGCAGTGCCTCAACGAGGTCTGCGGTCAGACGTCACTCCCAGGTGACTGTCCATCAGGGATGCCGCCTCGCCCACCTAGCCACCCCTGAAGCTTGTGGAGCCTGCATCGGCTGGCCGGCTGGCAGGGGGCGCGCCAACAGAGCTGCCAGCCTGAGTGTCTCCCCCGTGGGTGGGAGGAGTGACCGCCACTCACCACCTCCCCGGGGTGCACCTGTCGAGAGACGGCCCGAGAGTTCCAGGGTGAGTGCGCAGAGGAGCTTATCTGCCTGCTTGCGGGTCGGTCGGTCCTGCCGGCTGCTGGGCGCTAGCCTGCGTCACCTGCTTCTCTCGCTCCCTGTCCCTCGTCCGCCGCCCCCTCGGGCCCCCTCCCTTCAGCAGCCGGCCTCTGGGTCCTCCCACCGGGCCTTCGGGCTCGGCCTGGGAGCGCATAAAACGCGCCCGGGCCGCGCCGCTGCGCTCCCGCCGCTACTCACCCGGCAGAGCGCAAGGGTTTGGCTGGGGCTTCCAGCCCTGAGCGCGACACCGACGGCCCCGGACCGCGCCCGCCTCCAAGCAGGCTGAGGGCTTCCGCTCTCGGCTTCCAGAAAAGTTTGGAGAAAGTGAATGTGAGGTGGATTTGAGATTGGTAGCAGCTCCCCAGCCTTCTTTCCCCAGAAGCCTCACTCTGCACAGCCTCCCTGATTGTTCCGGTCTTCATTCTGCATCTCCTTGACCCCCTCCTCTCTCTCCTGGGTCCCCTCTCCGCACTGGGATTGGCGATCCCAGCCACATTTTTTCCTTCTCTATCTCATCCTCCCTCCTCCTCTCTATCCCTGTCCTCTGAACGATTTCCACCTGTGTGCAAGCCTTCTCCCTGTCGTTCTCACATTTCTCTTTCTCTCCACCTTCAACCTTTTCCTTGCCACTCCATTTTATCCACCAAACCTCTCCACTTGCATCCACACCCTCCCTCCATCCTTCCCCCCTCACCCCCAGCAGACCTTGCCCATGGATTCTGGGCCTCTGCTTAATGCCAACCCCACCCCTGGGGGCACCCTTTCTGTCACCAATGCCACAACACCCTGGCTGGGCCGGGATGAGGAGGTGGCCAAGGTGGAAATCGGAGTCCTGGCCACTGTCCTGGTGCTGGCCACCGGGGGCAACCTGGCTGTGCTGCTAACCCTGGGCCAGCTGGGCCGCAAGCGCTCCCGCATGCACCTGTTCGTGCTGCACCTAGCCCTGACAGACCTGGCGGTGGCGCTCTTCCAGGTCCTGCCCCAGCTGCTGTGGGACATCACCTTCCGCTTCCAGGGCCCTGACCTCCTGTGCCGGGCTGTCAAGTACCTGCAGGTGCTCAGCATGTTCGCCTCCACCTACATGCTGCTGGCCATGACGCTGGACCGCTACCTGGCTGTCTGTCACCCCCTGCGCAGCCTCCAGCAGCCCAGCCAGTCCACCTATCCGCTCATCGCTGCTCCCTGGCTGCTGGCCGCCATCCTCAGCCTCCCTCAGGTCTTCATTTTTTCCCTGAAGGAGGTGACCCAGGGCTCGGGGGTGCTGGACTGCTGGGCAGACTTCCGCTTCCCTTGGGGGCCACGGGTCTACCTCACCTGGACCACTCTGGCTATCTTCGTCCTGCCAGTGGCCATACTCACGGCCTGCTACAGCCTCATTTGCCACGAGATCTGTAAAAACCTCAAAGTCAAGACACAGGCCCGGCGGGTAGGAGGAGGGAGCTGGAGACGCTCACCTTCAGCCCCAGTTGCTGCCACTCGGGGGCTGCCATCCCGGGTCAGCAGCATCAGCACCATCTCACGGGCCAAGATCCGAACAGTGAAGATGACCTTTGTCATCGTGCTGGCCTACATCGCTTGCTGGGCTCCCTTCTTCAGTGTCCAGATGTGGTCCGTGTGGGACGAGAATGCCTTTCATGAAGGCAAGTATGGGGTCTGTGTGGGGGCAGTGAGGTGGGAGAAAGCAGAAAGAGACGGTGGGGGATTAGGGCAAGGTTACAACGCCTCCCAGGGCCAGGCAGGTGACAAACTAGTGGGGCAATTAAGAAAGATGGTGCCTGCTCCACAGGAAAAGAGGCAGTTATGACTTCCATTCAGCCTACCGATGCCATGTCAGTATCTTTTATGTGAAATTTCCAGCTTTAAAAATTTTGGTAACTAAAGGCTGGGCGCGGTGGCTCAAGCCTGTAATCCCAGCACTTTGGGAGGCCTAGGCGGGTGGATCACGAGGTCAAGAGATCGAGACCATCCTGGTCAACATGGTGAAACCCTGTCTCTGCCAAAAATACAAAACATTAGCTGGGCATGGTGGCACGTGCCTGTAATCCCAGCTACTCAGGAGGCTGAGGCAGGAGAATTGCCTGAACCCAGGAGGTGGAGGTTGCGGTGAGCCGCGATCGCGCCATTGCACTCCAGCCTGGTAAAGAGAGCGAAACTTTGTCTCAAAAAAAAAAAAAAAAAAAAAAAAAAAAAAAAAAAAAAAAAAATTGGTAACTAACAATTTAAAAATGCTCTGTGGTACCAGTGAAATATGACCATTAGCACACATTTGGCCACCAACTACCAGTTAGCTAGATGGGATTTAAAATAATAGAATGATAGCAATTTGTGGCCCATGAACTTGCTCTCTCAGCCTCTTCCCCCGCCCCCGTACCTGGACGTGACTTTGAGCTCCTTCTCAACAGACACTTCCAGTTAATTAGGGTTGGCACATGAAAACCCTGAAATTTCCAGCTCATCCTCTTCATGTTACTCATGAGGAAATGGAGGCTCAGAGAGTAACTGTTACTAGCTAATGTGGTGAAGTCCCACGTTCTTAGTGCCACAGACAAAGAACTGGTTGTGACAAACACAAATAACAAAGTAGCAAAAGTTTATTAAGCTCAGTAACACTCTCAGAGAGGGGAGAGTGAGCTGACCTCTGTGAAATGAGATCAGCGTCAGTTTGGTGTGCTTTGGATCTTTTTATATGTTCCTTTTCTCTTCACCCAGCTGCCTAATCTTTTAGCCAGTGTCTGCTTTTTGTTGGATAGGTGGGTTGCTTAGTTACGTTGGCCCTTGTGCACCCGCACGTGGCCTGCATCTCATAGTTTTAAGTACATGCATGCTATGAGTACCTATGCATGAGCTTTAATGAGCTGATTCTCATAAGGGGTCATTTTAGAGATACTTTTTCTCTAGTACACATGCCTGTCTCTGAGGAGCTGCCCCTTACTGGTTTGGTCTGGATCCAGCCAACCATGGGGCTCTTGACTCACTTCATATAACTTTTGTTTTGGCTCAACTTCTGCACCCTCCTCTTTATCCTGCCTCTGCTTCTACTCATTCTGCCTTTTATCCAGCCTCCGATTCCCTCTACTGTTCTCCTGCCTCCGAACCATGACTTGCCCCAGGCCTCACAGATAGGGAGTGACAAAGTGAAGAATAAAGCCCAGGTCTTCCGTCTCCTTGTCTTTTTCCTCAACCCCATTAATAACCCTGATCCCAAAAGTGGTTCTAAAAGGAGGGAGACTTTTCTTCTGCGTGAAAAACAAAATGGGCACCTCTAAGAGGATTGTGCTCTGGTTAGCACACGGGAGGCCTGGTGCTCATCATTTTTCTGGGGTGTGGTAGACAGCAGCCTCCTGAGCTTTAGACAGTGGCTGATGGTCTGGGTGTCTAGAGATGAACTTGTTCTCAGGAAGGCTGGGGCGGTGTCTGGGCAGCTTAAATGTGAGACAGCAGCATTCAGAACAGCTGCTGCCGCTCCCCTAAGCAGGAGTGAGGCACAAGGACAACTGCATGCTGACTTGTCTGGTTGGCTCTGAAGAGGGGCGATTGTGCCCTACAGTGCATCTTACAGTGTGCATAGCTCAGGACGTATAGTGGGTACAGCCTGCAAGTGTCCTAGGCAGGACCGGTGCACAGGTTCTTCTGGAAGCTTCCTGAGAGTTCACTAACCAGCAGTCTCAGGCTACCAGTTCCCACCTGCCCCAAGGAAGTTATCCCCTTTCTTTGCCGTGTTGTTTCTAATCTCAGTTTGCTCATCCCAGGACATGCTCAAGCCAAACGCTTTGCTTTTGGGGAGAGATGAAATAGGGAGAGCCATTCATGAATTGAACACAACCATGCAAGAGAAGTGCAAAAGTAATACCAAACTTCCAGTGTATCCCTTCCTCATTGCCCTTCTGACATCAGTCTGGGCAGGAGACGATTTGCAGATTATCCTTTAAGCAATGGGCATATTAATTCTAACCAACTGTAGAGACCTCCCTGCTCTCACCAAGCACAGAATAGAAGGAAGGAGGGTTTCCTAGGGACAGGCGCATTCAGCCCTCCTGCTATCAAGGAGTGGCATTCTTCTGTATTTTACATTTGAGTCACTTGAGACTCAGAGAGGTAAGATAACTGGTCCAAAATGCCACTGCTAGTAAGAGATAGAGCTCAAGCTTGAATTGAGGTCTTTATGGGCCAAGCTTTATCCAGGTCGTGGCTTTACTCCCAACACTGTGGCTTAGCCAGTGGCACCAGGGGTGAGCTGGTCATCTGCTCCTTTATTGAGAAGATGGTGCTCCTGTCACTCAGCCAGTGCAGACTTTTCCGCTTGCCTGTGGTATCCACCATTGCCATCAACCTGTTCCCCTACACCTCAGCCCTTGCTTGCGTAGAGTGATTTGCCCCTCACCAAGGGCATCTCTGGGCAAGGAATGCATGGGACAGTGGGTTGTCCCAAAGGGTTATCTAACAGACAGTGAGCTCCCAGATAAATGAAAGTCCTTGGGGCAGAAATTCATTACTCTAAACTTGCTTTCCAGTACACCCAGTTCCCTTCCACCGCATGCCGGCCTCCTGGCCCCTGGTCCCAAGGCTTTGGTGGGAGCCTCCCTGTTTCCTCGTCCCCACCCACCCCTGTCCCTGACCATCAGCTGAGTTTCTGGCAGGAGTCATTGGAGGCCTGGACTGGGTGTGGCAGATCTACCCTCAAGGGCTGGGAAGCACAGCCTCCATTGACTCTGGCACCTCCCTGTGGCACGTCCTCTGTGGCACATCTCCAGCCCCTACCAAAGCCTGGCTCAGATGAGCCAAACCAAACAGACACTTCCTAAATGGAGGAACCTGTGGAACTCCTTTGTCTCTGGCTTCATCTGGACACTAAATGTGCATCAACGGAGCAGACAGGATGAATGCTGTCTCCTCAGCCAAAGCCACTTCCCAAATCTTGTAGTTACACAGCTTGTAGTTACACATTAACTAGGGAGCAGGCTGGAACCCAGGCAAAACGGAAGGAGGCTGAGTTTGTTTTTGAGGCTTGTCCCTTGTGTTAGTCCATTTTCATTGCTATAAAGGAATACCTGAGACTGTGAAAATTTTTTTCTTTTTTTCTATTTTTTTGAGACGGAGCATCACTCTTGTTGCCCAGGCTGGAGTGCAATGGTGTGATCTTGGCTCACCGCAACCTCCGCCTCCCAGGTTCAAGCAAGTCTCCTGCCTCAGCCTCCTGAGTAGCTGGGATTATAGGCATGCACCCACCACACCCTACTAATTTTGTTTTTTTAGTGGAGACAAAGTTTCACCATGTTGGTCATGCTAGTCTCGAACTCCTGACCTCAGGTGATCTGCCCGCCTAGGTCTCCCAAAGTGCTGGGACTACAGGCACGAGCCACTGCACCTGGCCAAGAGACTGAGAAATTTATAAAGAAAAGAGGTTTATTTTGGCTTACGGTTCTGGAGGCTGTACAAGTAACATGTTGCCAGACTGGGTGTGGCAGCTCATGCCTGTAAGCTGGGTGGCTGAGGCAGGAGGATCAACTGATTCCAGGAGTTCAAAACCAGCCTGGGAAATACAGTGAGACCTCAGCTCTACTAAACATTAAAAAAATTAGCCAGGTGTGGTGGTGCACGGTTCACCCCTGTGGTCCCATCTACTTAGGAGGCTGAGGTAGGAGGATTGCTTGAGCACCAGAGGTCAGGAATGCAGCGAGCCATAATCACACACTGCACTCCAGCCTGAGGGTCACAATGAGACCCTGTCTCAAAAAGAAAATAAAAAAGAAGCATAGGGCTAGCATCCGCTTCTAGTGAGGGCCTCAGGAAGCTTCCAATCATGGCAGAAGGTGAAGGAGGAAGCCAGTGTATCACATGGCAAGAGAAGGCAGGAGAGAGAAGGGAGAGGTCCCAGACTGTTTCAAACAACCAGATCTCATGTGAACTGACTGAGCGAGAACTCACTTATCACCGAAGAAATGCCATGAGGCCATCTATGAGGGGTCCACCCCTGTGATCCATTCACCTCCCATCAGGCCCACCTCCAACAATGAGGATTACATTTCAACGTGAGATTTGGAGGGCACAAACATCCAAACTATATCTCTTTCTTTCTCATCTTTTTTTTCCCACCTTGAGACAAAGTCTTGCTCTTGTCACCCAGGCTGAGGTGTAATGGTGTGATCTCGGCTCACTGCAACCTCTGCCTCCTGGGTTCAAGCAATTCTCCTGCCTCCTGGGTTCAAGTGATTCTCCTGCTTCAGCCTCCGGAGTAGCTGGGATTATAATAAGCGCACATCACCATGCCCGGCTAATTTTTTTGTATTTTTATTACAGACAGGGTTTCAACATATTGGCCAGGCTGGTCTCAAACTCCTGATGTCGGGTGATCCACCCACCTTGGCCCCACAGAGTGCTGGGATTACAGGCATGAGCCCCTGCACCCAGCCGACATCCAAACTGGATCATCCCTCCTGCACTTCCAGGCGCTTTCCGCTGCCTTCACTGCTGTTCCCTGAACCGTTCCATGCAGGCCCAGATACCTTCAGCTTCCCATCCCGATGACTCATGCCGTCCATCAAATGTTCTCACCCTGTGTCTTCCCTTCTCTTGAGCCATGATTTGCCACACCCATGAGCACACCCCTGGGACACTTGCACGAGGAACCAGTGTATCCGAAGCATTCCCCGTGCTTTGCAGAGTAGACACTTGAGCTTTACCTTCTATTTTGCTGGTTGGAGCTCCGGTGGGATGTAGGATCTCTACCTTAGAGCTGAAAGACCTGGATTCGGGTTGCAGCTCTTATTAACTGTGCTATAAAAACTAGAAAGCTTACTTCTAAGGTTCCTTCCAGCTCTGAAATTGCTTTCAGTGATTCTACAACCTCCACTGAAGAGCAAGATGACTCAGCATAGCACCTATGCCATAGCTATAACCAAGGCAGACCTAGCAGGAGGCCATGGCTCATCCCTGCAGCTTTCCTGTTGGCATGAGGGTCTCATTTAGTCTTCAGAAAGAATATTTTGTCTGGAAGGAACTTATCAGCCTTGGCATCCTCACATTTTGACTGCCCAACAGAGAAATTAGTTTTTCCCTGCTGGAAAGTGCATTCCCTGGGCGCAATCTAAGAACACTGAGCACATTCTGGTCTGGAAAGGGATGCTTGGAGGCCCAGTGCATAGAAGCTGCCTGATCTGCCACAGGTGGCAATGGTGGCATAGGTGTCTGCAGGGCAGTCAGGCTCCACTGATTGCACCATCAGGTCCCCAGTTCAAGGCCAGGTAGAGTCGGTGCCCACACTCAGTGACTGAATATAGAATGAATGGGCCTGCCCCAAGGGATAGAGAGGGACAGAGTCCAGAGGGCCGTGTGAATCCATGATCTGTGATGTTTAGTGGGGATGGAGATGGAAGGGCCCAAACTTGGTTATTTTTCCTGCCTGTTTCACAGAAGTTGTCTCATTCTGTGTCTACATCCATTAGGGGACTCAAGGTCTAGCTTTTGGAACAAAGTCAGTTTCTCCTATCTGGGCTGATCCTATCCCTGACAATGTTTCTTCTTCTCAATTAAACTTGAAGCAAACCTCAGCTCCTACCTTCACCCTGCGTTTACACAACAAAAGCAAACAAAATCAGCATGTTAAGACTCTGGAGCCAGGAGTCCCAAGTTCAAGTCTCGACTGTGTCTCTCTAATTATAGGACCCTGAGTGACTCCCTTTTCTTCTGTAGGACTCAGTTTCCTCATCCGTTCCTCCTCTGTGGCACTTGGACGCTCTCGCAGGTCCTTTTGAGCTATCATTCTCAGGCTTCTTGTGCTTCTCTCTTGGTAGATTCCACCAATGTGGCTTCCACCATCTCCATGCTTTTGGGCAACCTCAGCAGCTGCTGTAACCCCTGGATCTACATGGGCTTCAACAGCCACCTGCTACCGTGGCCCCTGCGTCACCTTGCCTGCTGTGGGGGTCCCCAGCCCCGGATGCTCCGGCGGCTCTCCAACGGGAGCCTCTCGAGCCGCCACACCACGCTGCTGACCCGCTCCAGCTGCCCCGCCACTCTCAGCCTCAGCCTCAGCCTAACCCTCAGTGGGAAATCCAGACCCGAACAGTCATCAAGGGACTTGGAGCCAGCAGATGGGGAAGCCACCGCTGAGACTGACATCTTTTAGAAAAGACTCCCTGGGATCTGGCACTGCCCGGGACTACTGGAGGTTATCTGCCCACCTCGGGCACTGGGCATGAAAGCTAGGAGGGTCAGGATTGGAGTTAAGGGAGCCCTGTCTGAAGCGGGGTGAAAAGGCCAGAATGGGCCCCCTACCCTGGTGCCACAGCTGTCCTTAGTTTGAGGACTGCTTCATAAGCTCCCAATCTCAGATGCTGGTGGCCAGGGAGAATCAAACTCTCTGTCTCCTGGTCCTGCCATATTCACAGGTGTCCATGCGCACAGTGTCCCAGATCTGGGCAGGCCTAGGATGGTGATGGCTAGGGGTCCACGGGTGGCAGGAACCCAGAGGCTGGCCTTGTGCCCTGGCTGCCTGTCCCCATTCTTTTTTTTTTTTTTTTTATAAGGAAAAGAATAAAAAAGAGGAAGAAAGAGGAAGAGGAAGAGGGAGAGAGGATGGGGGTATTGCTTTATTGCCCGGGCTAGAATGCAGTCTAAATATGGGTATGCCTATAATGGAGACATAAAAGAAAATGAGGGAAGAGAATAACAAACAAGGAGCCAACCAACATTTCGTTTAAACTTCTAAGTTGATATGATGTGGTACTGATAAGAGTGTATATTTCGTGTATTTAAAGTGGAGAGTTCTATAAATGTTAATTACGTTTACTTGTTCCAGATCTGAGTTCAAGTCCTGGATATCGTTGTTAATTTTCTGTCTCAATGATCTGTCTAATATTAATGTTGAAGTCTCCCATTCTTATTGTGTGGGAGTCTAAGTCTCTTTATTAGTCTTGTATGTCTGGGTATTCCTGTATTGGGTGCGTATATATTTAGGATCTTTAGCTCTTCCTGTTGTTGCATTGATCCTTTTATCATTATATAATGTCCTTCTTTGCTTCTTTTGATCTTTGTTGCTTTAACGACTATTTTATCAGAGGCAAAAATTGTAACTTCTGCTTTTTATTTATTTATTTTAGCTCTCTGTTTGATTGGTAAATCTTTCTCCATCCCTTGTTTTGAGTCTTTGTGTATCCTTAAATGTGAGATGGGTCTGGATGCAGCATACTGATGGGTTTTAGTTTTTTATTCAAATTGGCTGTCTGTCTTTGGATTGGGGGATTTAGTTGATTTAAATTTAGAATTAATAATGACATGTGAGTTTAATACTGCCATTTAATATTAGCTGGCTATTTTGCCCATTAGTTGATGTAAATTCTTCATTTCATTGATGCTCTTTTTAGTATTTTTTAGAAAGGCTGATACTGTTTTTTCCTTTCTATGTGTAGTGGTTCTTTCAGAAGCTCTTGTAAAGCAGGTCTGGTGGTGATGAAATCTGAGTGCTTGTTTATTCAGCAAAAACTTTATTTTTCCTTCACTTATGAAGCTTAGTTTGGCTGGATGTGAAATTCTGGGTTGAAAGTTCTTTTCTTTAAGGATGTTGAATATTGGTCCCCACTCTCTTCTGGCTTGTAGGGTTTCTGCTGAGAGATCTGCTGTAAGTCTGATATGCTTTCCTTTGTGGGTAACCTGACCTTTCTCTCTGGCTGCCCTTAGTATTTTCTCCTTCATTTCAACCCTGGTGAATCTGACGATCATGTGCCTTGGAGTTGCTCTTCTTGAGGAATATCTCTGTGGTGTTCTCTGTATTACCTGGAGTTGAATATTATCCTGCCTTACTAGGTTGGGAAAATTTTCCTGAATAATGTCCTGAAGCGTATTTTCCAGCTTGGATTCATTCTGTTCGTCACATTCAGGTACTCCTATCAAGCGTAGGTTAGGTCTTTTCACATAGTCCCATAATTCTTGGAGACTTTGCTCGTTCCTTTTTATCCTTTTTTCTCTAATCTTGTCTTCTTGTTTTATTTCATCGAGTTGGTCTTCGACCTCTGATATCCTTTCTTCTGCTTGATCAATTCGGCTGTTAAAACTTGTGCATACTTCACGTAGTTCTCGTATTGTGTTTTTCAGCTCCATCAATTCACTTATATTCCTCTCTAAATTGTGTATTCTTGTTAACATTTCGTCAAACCTTTTTTTAAAGTTCTTTGTTTCTTTAGATTGAGTTAGAACAGTTCTTTTAATTCACAGAAGTTTCTCATTATCCACATTTTGAAGCCTGCTTCTGTAATTGGAACACACTCGTTCTCCATCAAGCCTTGTTTCCTTGCTGATGAGGAACTGGGATCCCCCGCTGAGGGAGAGGCGTTCTGATCTTGGGTATTCACAGCCTTTTTTGTTTTGCTAAAGCACTTAAAGCGGGGACCGTTTTAGCTGTGTATTCTGAAAAACTTGTCTAGCATTCAAAGCACGGACAGTTTTAGCTGTGTATTTTCAAAAAGTTGTCTCTACCTGCCATAGCTCATGAAGTCAAAACGAGTGAGCTGTGTCCCCTTGAGTTGAGCATTCTTTTAGTAAGAAAGTATTAAGTTCAATTTGAATTCTGGAAAACTGCTTCTCATCTTGTCCATCAGCTGTCAGTTTTGTGTGTTAATTTCTAGGAGAGGTAATAGAGTCAATCCAAAACCAAAGGTGTATTCAAATCCAGATTGACAAGTCAAACCAAGAAAGCAGGCACTGAGCTGGAAGAGGGATCTTTTCTTAGTGGGACTTAAGGCCCACATAAATCCCTGTGAAGGAATCGGGAAACAGAGACAGAAAGGGACTCGCCTAAGGCTTGTCACATGAAAGTGCCTGGCAGACTGACTGGCAGAGGGCTGAAAATCAAATCCAAATCTTCGGACGTGTAATTTCACAGGGTGCACCGCCTCCCCCAGGCCCAATGTGACACTTCAATGGCTTAACGAGAGCTTGACGGGATGGATGTCAACATGAAAAGACATTAGATTTCATCGGACCTGTCTTTGGCCCATTGTCTCTAAGGAGAATGTGCCTGGTTCAAATTCTCACTTTGCTTCTCACCTGAGAGATGTGACCTCAGTGGTCAAGGGAAATGAGCTGGTTTCAGTCACCAACCTCTCATTCATCACCAAGAAAATTCCTTCAACCATACATGGATTGTGTTTTCAGGAGTGCTGGGCTTCATCCACAGTTCTGAGTAACATGCTAAAAGAGGAAAAAAGATTTGCTGCTCAGGAATGGAGACAGAAATACAGACACACACACACACACACACACACACACACACACACACACACACACGTGACACAAAAAACACCCAAACACAGGCCGCACACACCACATCTCGTTTTCAGCAAAATACTTAGTGGTATGAGGTGGGCATTGAACCCGTCCATGCTCCAAAGGAAGACACACCTTTCGCTATTTCACCCGTCTATTCTCGTAGGGAATGTGAATAATTCTTTCAGACATGGCTCATGATGACAGGGACGACTCTCATTTCACCTTCAGAGGCACACAAGAGGACTGCAAAGGACTCAGGTGTCGTCTCTGCTGACTGAAGAGGACTCCCATTTCCCCTCGAACCCAAAGGCACAGCAAAAGTTGCTTTCTCTTTGAAGAGCACACAACTTTTTCAAAATACACAGCTTTAACAATCCCCGCTTTAAGTGCTGTATCTTGGAAATAATACAAATACACCCCCAAGCTGTGTTATTTTCAAAAAGACAAATAAAACCATTAGCTGTGTCTTGGAAAATAACACAAATACACCCCCAAGCTGTGTTATTTTCAAAAAGACAAATATAACCCTTAGCTGTATCTTGGAAAATAATACAAATACACCACCAAGCTGTGTTTTTTACAAAAATACAAATACAACGCTTAGCTGTATCTTGGAAAATAATACAAATACACCCTCAAGCTGTGTTATTTTCAAAAATACAAATACAACCCTTAGCTCTATCTTGGAAAATAATACAAATACACACACCAGCTGTGTTATTTTCAAAAATATAAATACAACCCTTAGCTGTATCTTGGAAAATAATGCAAATAAACAACCAAGCTGTGTTATTTTCAAAAATACAAATACAACCCTTAGCTGTATCTTGGAAAATAATACAAATACACGCCCAAGCTCTGTTATTTTCAAAAATACAAATACAACCCTGAGCTGTATCTTGGAAAATAATGCAAATACACCCACAAGCTGTGTTATTTTCAAAAATACAATTACAACCCTTAGCTGTATCTTGGAAAGTAATACAAATACATCCAAAAGCTGTGTTATTGTCAAAAATACAAATAAAACCCTTAGCTATATCTTTGAAAATAATATAAATACACCACCAAGCTGTGTTATATACAAATGCATCCCTTAGCTGTATCTTTGAAAATAATACAAATACACACCCAAGCTGTGTTATTGTCAAAAATACAAACAAAACCCTTAGCTGTATCTTTGAAAATAATACAAATACACCACCAAGCTGTGTTATTTTCAAAAATACAAATACACCCATTAGCTCTATCTTGAAAAGTAATACAAATACACTGCCAAGCTGTGTTATTTTCAAAAATACAAATACAACCCTTAGCTGTATCTTGGAAAATAATAAAAATACACCCCCAAGCTGTGTTATTTTCAAAAATACAAATACAACCCTTAGCTGTATCTTGGAAAATAATACAAATACACCCCCAAGTTGTGTTATTTTCAAAAATACAAATAAAACCCTTAGCTGTATCTTAGAAAATAATACAAATACACGCCCAAGCTGTGTTATTTTCAAAAATACAAATACAACCCTCAGCTGTATAGTGGAATATAATACAAATACACCCCCAAGCTGTGTTATTTTCAAAAATACAAACACAACCCTTAGCTTTATCTTGGAAACTAATACAAATACACCCCCAAGCTGTGTTATTGTCAGAAATACAAATACAACCCTTAGCTGTATCTTGGAAAATAATACAAATACACCCCATGCTGGGTTATTGTCAAAAATACAAATACAACCGTTAGCTGTATCTTGGAAAATAATTCAAGTACACCCCCAACCTGTGTTATTGTTAAAAAACCAATAAAACCCTTAGCTGTATCTCGGAAAATAATACAAATACACACCCAAGCTGTGTTATTGTCAAAAATACAAATACAACCTTTAGCTGTATCTTGGAAAATAATACAATTACACCCCCAAGCGTTGTTATTGTCAAAAATACAAATGCAACCCTTAGCTGTATCTTGGAAATTAATACAAATACACCCACAAGCTGTGTTATTGTCAAAAATACAAATACAACCCTTAGCCGTATCTTTGAAAATAATAAAAATACACCCCCAAGCTGTGTTATTCTCAAAAATACAAATACAACACATAGCTGTATCTCTCAAAATAATACACATACACCCCCAAGCTCTGTTATTTTCAAAAATACAAATACATCCATTACCTGTATCATTGAAAATAATACAAATACACCCGCAAGCGGTTTTATTTTCAAAAATACAAAACGA